CCCGCGCCCCCCCCGCGCTTCGCTGCCGCACCTGCCGCGACCCCCGGGGACCCCCGGTAACCGCAGCGAGCCCCGGCGGAGTTGTCCCCGGCAGGGGGGACCCCCAGGCACCGCACGGTTCCCGGTGGCACCCCCGGGACCCACGGTCTGTCTCCCTTCTCTCTGCACCGCTCGGGACTCCCGGGACCCCCAGAGCCCCCCCGGGAATCTCCGGGCCCCGCTGCCGGTGCTGCTCTCCAGCCGTTCCTTGGCTTTCCCGGTGGGGGGGGGCCGCACCGGGACCCCGCCGTGGCCGCCCCGGGCGGGGTCCCCGCGCTCCGTTTCCCGCAGCGACGGGACAGCCCCGGTACCGCCCGGGCCTTCCGGCAGTGCCGTGACTCACCGGGCCCGGGGGGGCCGTTTCCTGCCCGGCCCTCCCCGCGGTGTGGGAGGGGTCCGGACCCCCCTTTCCCGGGACTTCCCCCCACCGGGACCCCCCGTTTCGGGATCCGGGGGGGGGGCGGGTGACGGGGCTGCGCGGGGTGGCACCGGCGGTTGGAGAAACTGAGGCACGGGCCCCCCTGTCCCCCAGGTCAGCTTCCCGGATGTGGAGCGGGCGGAATGGCTCAACAAGGTGAGGGGGCGTCCGTGTGTCCGGCCCGCGTCGCCGCGGGCCACGCTCCGTCCCTCTCCCTCCTCCATCCCTCCGGCATCCTTCCATCCCTCCGTCCCTCTCCCTCCTCCATCCCTCCTCCATCCCTCCGGCATCCTTCCATCCCTCCGTCCCTCTCCCTCCGGCATCTCTCCGCCCCTCCGTCCCGCATCCCTCCGTCCCTCCCTCCCTCCCGCATCCTTCCCTTCTTCCTGGCCTCTTTCCATCCCTCCCTCCTCCATCCCGTCTTCGTCCCTCCCCCCCCCTCCCGTGTCCCTCCCTCCTGGCCTCTTTCCCTCCCTCCCTCCGGCATCCTTCTCTCCCTCCTGGCCTCTTTCCACCCCTCCCTCTCTCTCCCTCCTCAATCCCTCCCTCTCTCCCTGCAGCCTTCTGTCCATCCCCCTGTCCACCCCTCTGTCCATCCCCTGTGCCCCCTGTGTCCGTCTGTCCGTGTGTCCACGCCGGTGTCCGTCTGTCCGTCTGTCTGTCTGTCCATCCCCGTGTCCGTCTGTCCATCCACAGGTGCTGGCTCAGGCCTGGCCGTTCCTGGGGCAGTTCCTGGACAAGCTCCTGCTTTGGGGGGGTGGGCTTGGTTTTGGGGAGGGGTCGCAGCTCGTTTTGACCCCTCCCCAGCTCCACGGGATGCTCAGGATCATCCTGGAGCCCCTCCTGGGGGACGTGCCCATCGTGGGGGCGCTCACCATGTTCTTCATCCGCCGCCCGGTGAGTTCGTGGCCCCCTCCCCAAAAAAAAAAAATGGGTCCAGAACCCCCCCAGGACACACCCGGGGGTCTTCTCCCCCAAAAAGGACCCCCTGGGACCCCCTCAGGACCCTCCTGGGACCCACCCAGGGACCCCCCCTGACCGTGTCCCCCCCCAGCTCCATGTCGGACTCGATGATCATGGACAGCATCTCCTCCTACCTGGTGCTGCCCAACCGGCTGCTGGTGCCGCTGGTGCCCGACCTGCCCGAGGCCGCTCAGCTGCGCTGGCCCCTCCCGCGGGTGAGGCAGGCTGGGGGGGGGTCCTGACCCCCCCCCTTTTTCCCCTTTGGACCCCCTCTTTTTCCTTTTTGGACCCCGGGACCCCCCAATTTTCCCCTCTGCCCCCCCCATTTTCCCCTCCTTTTCCCTTCTTTTTCCTCCCTTCCCTCTCCCCTCCTTTTCGCCTCCTGACCCCCAATTTTCCCTTCCTGACTCTTCCCATTTTCCCCTTCTGAGCCCCCTATTTTCCCCCCATTTTCCCTTTCTTCCCCTCTTTTTTTTCCCTTCCCTCCCCCTCCTTTTCCCCCTTTATTCCCCTCTTTTCCTTTCCCCTTCCTTTTCTCCCTTTTCCCCTCCTCTTTTCCCCTCCTTTTCCCCCTTTTTTTCATCACTTTCCCCCGTTTTCCCTTTTCCCCTCCTTTCCTTTCCCCCATCACCTCCCTCCATTTCTCGCTGTCACTGCCTGTCCCTGGGCCGTGTCCCCCCTTGGTGACCCCGCTGTCCCCTCGGTGTCCCCAGGGCGTGGTGTGGGTGACACTGGTGGCCGTGTCCCCACGTGGCCATCCCCTCTGACCCCGGTGTCCCCCCAGTGTCCCCAGGGCGTGGTGCGGGTGACGCTGGTGGCCGCGCGGGCGCTGCGCTCCAAGGATCGCTTCCTGGGCGGGCTGGTGCAGGGCCGCTCGGACCCGTACGCGCTGCTGAGGGTGGGGACACAGGCGGCCACCAGCCGCGTCATCGGGGACAGCCTGGACCCCGCCTGGGACGAGGTGTACGAGGTGAGCGGGGACAGACAGAGGGACAGGGGGACAGAGGGACAGACAGAGGGACAGGGGGATGGACAGAGGGATGGACAGGGAGATGGAGAGAAGGAAAGAGGGATGGACAGAGGGACAGGCACAGGCGGCCACCAGCCGCGACATCGGGGACAGCCTGGACTCCAGATGGGAGGAGGCGTACGAGGTGAGCGGGGACAGACAGAGGGACAGGGGGACAGAGGGACAGACAGAGGGACAGGGGGATGGACAGAGGGATGGACAGGGAGATGGAGAGAAGGAAAGAGGGATGGACAGAGGGACAGGCACAGGCGGCCACCAGCCGCGACATCGGGGACAGCCTGGACTCCAGATGGGAGGAGGCGTACGAGGTGAGCGGGGACAGACAGAGGGACAGGGGGACAGAGGGACAGACAGAGGGACAGGGGGATGGACAGAGGGATGGACAGGGAGATGGAGAGAAGGAAAGAGGGATGGACAGAGGGACAGGCACAGGCGGCCACCAGCCGCGACATCGGGGACAGCCTGGACTCCAGATGGGAGGAGGCGTACGAGGTGAGCGGGGACAGACAGAGGGACAGGGGGACAGAGGGACAGACAGAGGGACAGGGGGATGGACAGAGGGATGGACAGGGAGATGGAGAGAAGGAAAGAGGGATGGACAGAGGGACAGGCACAGGCGGCCACCAGCCGCGACATCGGGGACAGCCTGGACTCCAGATGGGAGGAGGCGTACGAGGTGAGCGGGGACAGACAGAGGGACAGGGGGACAGAGGGACAGACAGAGGGACAGGGGGATGGACAGAGGGATGGACAGGGAGATGGAGAGAAGGAAAGAGGGATGGACAGAGGGACAGGCACAGGCGGCCACCAGCCGCGACATCGGGGACAGCCTGGACTCCAGATGGGAGGAGGCGTACGAGGTGAGCGGGGACAGACAGAGGGACAGGGGGACAGAGGGACAGACAGAGGGACAGGGGGATGGACAGAGGGATGGACAGGGAGATGGAGAGAAGGAAAGAGGGATGGACAGAGGGACAGGCACAGGCGGCCACCAGCCGCGACATCGGGGACAGCCTGGACTCCAGATGGGAGGAGGCGTACGAGGTGAGCGGGGACAGACAGAGGGACAGGGGGACAGAGGGACAGACAGAGGGACAGGGGGATGGACAGAGGGATGGACAGGGAGATGGAGAGAAGGAAAGAGGGATGGACAGAGGGACAGGCACAGGCGGCCACCAGCCGCGACATCGGGGACAGCCTGGACTCCAGATGGGAGGAGGCGTACGAGGTGAGCGGGGACAGACAGAGGGACAGGGGGACAGAGGGACAGACAGAGGGACAGGGGGATGGACAGAGGGATGGACAGGGAGATGGAGAGAAGGAAAGAGGGATGGACAGAGGGACAGACACAGGCGGCCACCAGCCGCGACATCGGGGACAGCCTGGACTCCAGATGGGAGGAGGTGTACGAGGTGAGCGGGGACAGACAGAGGGACAGGGGGACAGATGGAGGGATGGACAGAGGGATGGACACAGAGAGATGGACACCGAGGATGGACACCAGGGACAGACAGAGGGATGGACAGAGGGACAGAGGCACACAGGGACAGACAGAGGGACAGACACAGGCGGCCACCAGCCGCGACATCGGGGACAGCCTGGACTCCAGATGGGAGGAGGTGTACGAGGTGAGCGGGGACAGACAGAGGGACAGGGGGACAGGGGGATGGACAGAGGGACAGATGGAGGGATGGACAACAGGGACAGACAGAGGGACAGGGGGACAGACAGAGGGACAGACACAGGCGGCCACCAGCCGCGTCACTGGGGACAGCCTGGACCCCAGCTGGGACAAGGTGTACGAGGTGAGCGGGGACAGACAGAGGGACAGGGGGACAGATGGAGGGATGATCAGAGAGATAGAGGGATGGACGGAGAGAGGGACAGAGGGACGGACAGAGGGATGGAGGGATGGACACAGAGAGATGGACACCGGGGATGGACACCAGGGACAGACAGAGGGAGGGACACAGAGGGATGGACAGAGGGACAGAGAGATGGAGGGATGGACAGAAGGACAGGCAGAGGGATGGCCACTGGGGATGGATGGACGGACAGAAGGCTGCAGGAAGGGAGGGATGGAAGGAGAGAGGGACCTGCAGAGTCCCCCCACATCCTCCTCCCTGGTGCTCTGAGTGTCCCCAGCAGGGACAGGGACACCCCGACCCCCCGGGGTGGGACACTGGGACCCCCCAGGGGGATTTTGGGGACAGGGACACTGGGACCCCCCCAGGGGGATTTTGGGGACAGGGCCCCCCAGGGGGATTTTGGGGACAGGGACACCCCCAGGGGGATTTTGGGGACAGGGACCCCCCAGCTGCCGCTGTCCCCCCCAGTTCATGGTGCACGAGGTGCCGGGCCAGGAGCTGGAGGTGGAGCTCTTCGACAAAGACCCCGACAAGGACGATCTCCTGGGCAGGTGAGGGGGGGCCCGCACCCCCAAATTCGGGGAGGGGGCTTCTCCCCCCCTCCCGCACCTCCCCCCTCC